GCACGCGAGTGAGGGAGTGAGTGAGTGAGTGAGTGAGTGAGTGAGTGAGTGTGTAACTGACTGACTGACTGACTGAGCGAGCGAGCGAGTGACCGACTGAGCGAGCGAGTGAGTGACTGACTGAGTAAGTGAACGACGCAGCGAGCTACGTCGCTACCGCGAGTTACGTCGCCATCTTGTTGCAGACGGTCAGCCAGGCGGCGCTGTCGACGTCGTCCACGGATACGCTGTCCCTAGCTCCTGGTCGGCTGGAAACCTTCACCGTGACGATCACGCTGCCACTGGAGTCCACCTACGACGTTGACTTCGACGTTGAGGTGCGTGTCACAGGCCGCGGCAACATAATACCTGGCTAGGGTCGCCAGCCAGCCGTCCTGACTCACTCTCCGAAAACCTCCGGTGTTGTTGCACCGCCACGGGCTGCGTGTTGCTGGTAAACCTGCTCTTCGTCAGAGGCGAAGCGCCCCAGCCTCCCAGTGGCGGATCCAGAAGTGAATTCTAGGGGGGACGGGTGAATCATGCGAGCTCAAGAGCACGAAGTGAAATGGAAGCACAAAATGGCGATCATTTAGGCTAACGCTCCATTAGGAGTGTTCCCAACTTTGATATCATTAATGATTAATGATTAATGATTAATGATTGATAATCCTAACCCTAACCCTAACCCTAACCTAAATGCCATTAAACCACAAACTAATATATGACCATGACCATATATATAATTATGACCATTAATGACATTAAAGTTGGGAACACTCCTAATGGAGTATCACCCATCATTTAGGTGTTGCGCCCTCTCTCGCCCAGATTTCAGATCTGAAACATTTATTTTTGCATCAAAAATTACGCATATATCATTATCAAGACTTAGAGTATATAATGGGAGATATGCTATATAATGGGAGTTCTCCCATATATACTCCTGCTTTATATATCACCCCTTCCTCTTCTATCACACCAAGGTGAGCTACAGTGTCATTGACACTTTCATTTTATGATTTTATTTAGAACACTCGCTTATATAGTACTTTCGAATGAACTATGCACCGGCCTAGCCCTAGTGAGTAGCGTCAAGCCATGATGGTGGTATATATCTAAAATATATATATTATCTAACAATTAAGGGTCTTTGAGTGGATAAGAGCTGCACCTATCACGTTATACCCTGTATAGACTTTAAAATTTGATCCTACATTAAACTATAGTCCGGGCCAAGCGCGCGTCAAATCGTAGCGTACAGACTGCAAATTTGATCCTACATCAAATGAGTCACGGGTTGATTGTGCATGCTCATTTCAGCTCGCTGCGTCACACCGCAGGCAGATGATGTACTTTTATGTGACCTAAATAAGTCATGCTTATTGCAAAATAGCACCGGATTTGGCCCGCGTGTTGTGTACAGACACAGCTTGGAGCAGGATATCGATAACTTAGTCCGGGCCAAGTTATCCTGGCCCTCCTTCATTTGCGGGGCCAAATTGGTGCGCGCCTGAGCACGCATTTGGAGCGGGATAGCGTGTACACACTGCAAAAATTTGTCGCGCGCCTGGCCCGGACCAATTTGATGTGGTATTTAATTTGTAGTCTGTACGCGGTATCAGTGTCGAACGCTGGTGCGTGGCGTTGTGACGATCGTAGTCGTTTAGACTGCCGCTCGATTCCAGACTCCGAAGTACGACACGGGTTTGGCCAACCAAACGCTTATTAACATCATCGACGTAGTGCCAGTCTACACTGGAGTGAATATTGCCTGCCTTGGCCTGACCTCCGGAGCCACGAAGGAGTTCTACTCGGCGGAAGATAACTCCGACAAGGACCACTTGGTGGTGAAGTTCGGAATGGTTCAAAACACTGGTCAGTAGCTCGACAAACAACATTCCTATCATTATATGTAATAAACATATGGCAATATAGGATAAAACAGTTCACTTCTGATTGACAAATTCTTAGCTAACCTTTTCTTTACAACGGCTGCCCCCCATGTTATTTTCTTGCTGTCCTTTTTAAGTTCTAGTTTTCCCTCGTACTTTTTTTTAACATTTGTCATTCATATTTTTTACCCTCAACCGTTCCCCTAGATGCGCTTGCCTGTCATTGCCGTGTTCGCTTCGACGCATGACTGCAGCATCTTTCTCGTGTATATTCTGCTTTGGTTCGGGTTAGGGATGAAGTGGACAGGTGGCTTAAAGTGATTACGTCACCGTAAATAGTAAAAGTAAAAAAATCATGTCCACTTTTTCTCTAATGATTCTGTTCACTTTTTATGATTAAATTACTGCATTATACTTCCTATTTTGCTATTCCGTTCGATGTGAACAAACACTCGTGACTCATACATAGCCCATAGCAAGCATTTAATGTCGTGATCAATAAATCAAATCGCCCAGATTTTTTCGATTTTTTACTAGTTGAAAAACAATCTTATCCGGTATGAATTTGAGGATACATTTAGTGCCGTTAGTACTTACTTTTCATGTAAAAAATTGCAACAAAAACTTTACAAATATACACCATTATAGAAAATTCGTCACGCAGTCACTTTATCTGTGCGGCTACACTCTATAGCATCCTATACCTTCTGCGTTTGTAGGTTTAGCAGCCATGCAGGACTCGTACCTGGCAGGTGACAATGACGTAAAGTTAGATATCACAGTGCAGGCTACAGACAATCTTGAGAACGTGGACGCAGTGGCGGGCCAAGTGCAGTACGGTGTCTCTCTAGGTACGCATCACACTATCTGTCACCACTGATCAATATACATGATAAC